GACAAGGGGCAGACAGTGTCTAAACAAGACATAAGAGTGGAGCAGAAAGTATCAGTAGCACTGTTAACATCAAGAGATGATAACTGTTCAGGGGAAGGAAGCAAAGATGAAACCATAGCAGATAGCCGGGAGGCTGAGAGAGAGCATAGGTTACGTCGAAAAGTGACATGTGTAGGGGTATGTGTTGTGTCAGGAACCATGTTGAGGTTAAGAGTGAGGAGGAAGTGATCCGAGGTGTGCAGTGGAGTAACCAGCACATGATCAGTGAAGCAGTGTCATGTTTAAATAAGATCCAGTTGGTTGCCTGATTTGTGAGTAGCCGTAGTCCACACTCACTTGAGATCAAAAGAGGCAAGCAGAGTGTGGACGTCTGCAGCCTGAGGTTCATCTAGGTGGATGTTGAAGTCTCCAAGCATAACTAGGGGAGTACCATCCTCAGGAAAGTTTGAGAGCAGCACATCTAATTCTTCCACGAAGTTACCTAGTGGTCCTGGGGGTCGATAAACAACTATAAAATGGATTTTAAGAGGGTAGGTAATAGTGGCTGAATGTGATTCAAAGGAGCTGTCGATACTCTGAGATGGTAAATGATTCAATTTCCAATCATTAGAGATAAGCAGACCAGTACCTCAAACTCTTCCAGTCAGACCCTGCGTGGGAAAAAGATAAATTATTGGAGAGTGCTGCAAGGTGTAGCATTGTCCTCTGGTTTGATCCACATCTCTGTCGGGGCTATGAGGTTTAGTCTTGAATGACTTGTAATAGAAGTAATAAAATTTGCTTTGCTTACAGCAGACTGGCAATTCCAGAGACCAATAGAAAAAGAAAGTAGTATATTAGTAGACATGGGCAAAGTGCGCAGGTTGTTAGGATTGGGCTGCCTACAGTGTGTGATGCATGGTTTGCGAGTGCTAGTGATAGTAGGGATCTGGAAACACACAATAAGAATTGGTTATAAAAACTGAAAACAGAAGGGAAACAAGTAGTAGGAAAGATAATCATTCAAAAGCGATACTTATGTCCCTTGCCGGTGTCCAATTTCAGCACGTCTCCACACAGTAAACAAAACAAGCATTTCCTAGCAACGACAACTGCGCTAAACACTGAGACAAGAAATAAATACACTTACGAGCGGCTTTTAACCTCTGCTGATTGACCGCTTCTCTCAAAGAGTATTTCTTTACACTGTGTTTTGCTGGCGCTTGAACACACTTTCCTGTTTATCACAAATGGCCAAGCAAAGCGCACGACACTGACAAGGTACAAATTTGCTTTGCTTACAGCAGACTGGCAATTCCAGAGACCAATAGAAAAAGAAAGTAGTATATTAGTAGACATGGGCAAAGTGCGCAGGTTGTTAGGATTGGGCTGCCTACAGTGTGTGATGCATGGTTTGCGAGTGCTAGTGATAGTAGGGATCTGGAAACACACAATAAGAATTGGTTATAAAAACTGAAAACAGAAGGGAAACAAGTAGTAGGAAAGATAATCATTCAAAAGCGATACTTATGTCCCTTGCCGGTGTCCAATTTCAGCACGTCTCCACACAGTAAACAAAACAAGCATTTCCTAGCAACGACAACTGCGCTAAACACTGAGACAAGAAATAAATACACTTACGAGCGGCTTTTAACCTCTGCTGATTGACCGCTTCTCTCAAAGAGTATTTCTTTACACTGTGTTTTGCTGGCGCTTGAACACACTTTCCTGTTTATCACAAATGGCCAAGCAAAGCGCACGACACTGACAAGGTACACGATACAGTACGAGACCAAACGCGATTTCAGCACGTCTCCACACAGTGAATATTATGTGTATATGTATATATATATATATATATATATATATATTTATTAGAACAAAATTATAATCGTAACACTTTTGTTTTTGCCCCCATTTTTCATGAGCTGAACTTAAAGATCTAAGACTTTTTCTATGTACACAAAAGGCCTATTTCTTTCAAATATTTTTCACAAATCTAAGTCTGTGTTAGTGAGCACTTCTCCTTTGCCAAGATAATCCATCCACCTCACAGGTGTGGCATATCAAGATGCTGATTAGACAGCATGATTATTGCACAGGTGTGCCTTACAGAGTAGATTATATATGAAGTCAACGCAAAGAAGCGAATAGAGGCGAATTCGCGCCGGGCGACACGAATGACGCGAAATGCGCGACACACGATATTCGCCTCAATCGCATCTTCTGCGCAAGTTCAAAAATTTCAACTTGAGCGGAAAATTCGCATGACGCATTCTCGCGCAAGCCAATCAGCGAAGAGTTTCTTGACACGTCCAGTTGAATCATACAATAGAAGAGAGCATTAATGCAGCCGTCTGTTATTATATTGGTCTGGAGCATAGAAAACAATTTAAATCAGTTGTAGTGGTAGTTGTATTTTATTAGCATGGCTACAGAGATGCTGCTATCAATAATAAAAATAATAATTATATTGTGTGTATATATATACAGTAGTAAAATGTAGCACACATCAATACAGGATCCTAATGTTATTCATCCTCCTCTGGATGGTGCTGTGAACCCAGACACGTCGGCGTTTGGCTTTCCATTGTATTTGGGACTTTTTGACAACAGTTACAAAACCGTGATTGTAGTTATCTCCACCATGGTTGATCGTGCTGTTTTTATTCGCACGAGCGAAACGAAAAACATCCTGCGAGTGACGCGATGCGCATATTCGCTTCGCGTCTGGTGTGAACACACCATTAGTCTGGCCACAATAAAAGGCCACTCTAAAATGTGCAGTTTTACTGTATTGGGGGATGTGAGCATTTGCCCACTCAAATCGGTTACGACGACAAACTGCAGTCAGGTCGAGACCCCGATGAGGACGACGAGCATGCAGATGAGCTTCCCTGAGAAGGTTTCTGACAGTTTGTGCAGAAATTATTTGGTTATGCAAACCGATTGTTGCAGCAGCTGTCTGGGTGGCTGGTCTCAGACGATCTTGGAGGTGAAGATGCGGGATGTGGAGCTCCTGGGCTGGTGTGGTTACATGTGGCCTGCGGTTGTGAGGGCGGTTGGATGTACTGCCAAATTATCTGAAATGCCTTTGGAGACGGCTTATGGTAGAGAAATTAACATTTTAATTCACGGGCAACAGCTCTGGTGGACATTCCTGCAGTCAGCATGCCAATTGCACGCTCCCTCAAAACTTGCGACATCTGTGGCATTGTGCTGTGTGATAAAACTGCACATTTTAGAGTGGCCTTTTATTGTGGCCAGCCTAAGGCACACCTGTGCAATAATCATGCTGTCTAATCAGCATCTTGATATGCCACACCTGTGAGGTGGATGGATTATCTCGGCAAAGGAGAAGTGCTCACTAACACCGATTTAGACAGATTTGTGAAAAAGTCTTAGATCTTTGAGTTCAGCTCATGAAAAATGTGGGGCAAAAACAAAAGTGTTGCGTTTATAATTTTGTTCAGTGTGTGTGTGTGTGTGTGTGTGTATTGTATTTTATGTATTTTTTATATATATTACTAATTTTACTATGGGTATTTCATATTTGGTATAAACCTATATAAAATCATATAAGCTTACATGTATAAATTGCACATATTTTTCACATATTGAGTTAACATGCATTATCACATGGGTGCCCAACCCTGTTCCTGGCGATCGACTGTCCTGCAAAGTTTAGCTCCAACTCTAATCAAAGACACCTGCCTTTTAATTCTTAAGTGATCCTGAAGACCCTAATTAGTTGCTTCAGGTGTGTTTGATTAAGGTTGGAGCTGAATTTTGCAGGACAGTCGATCGCCAGGAGCAGGGTTGGGCACCCCTGCATTATATAAATATTTGTAATAAAAGTATTTGAAATAATTTTAATATGGGTATTTAAGATATGACGTGAATTTATAACTTGTATACATCCATGGGATATACAATGTAATAATAATATATTGTATTTTAGTGCAACATATGACAAGAGCACTAGTGATATAAGGACATATTTCATGCATTACATTACTGTATGGGCAAAGCATGGATAAATCTGTAAACACTGAAGATATTGAAATACTATATTTCCTTTTTTCTGCAGAATAAGACATCTCCATCTGAGGTGGTGCAATGGTCCAACCATCGTGTGATGGAGTGGTTGAGGTCAGTGGATTTGGCTGAATATGCTCCAAACCTGCGAGGCAGCGGTGTTCATGGAGGTCTAATTGTGAGTCAGCTTTTACTGGTCACTAAAGTACTACTGCTTATGATGTTTAAATATTTCAGTACATTAAACGTGCCATATAAATAGATAAGTGTTGTCATTTTCTAGTAAATAAAAGTAAAACATGCTCTAAAACACTGTAGTCGTTACATTGAGAGTAACCACCTGTTCAAGTCATGACTGGCTGACAAAAGTTTCAATAATATAGAAAATTCATAAACATTTATAGGTCAAAAAGTGAGGAACACTTTTAGTACTCCGCAACTTGTACTGTCCAAATGAACAATAGTTGGAACTAGGAATAGGCGGGAAATAGGACAAGGAGGAAGGTATAAAGACAGCTGTTTTATTGAACAAAAAGAAGATAATCAAAATGGGGAGAATAACAGGAGAAACCATAAGATATTTCAAACAATCCAAGACAAAGAACTTTACTAAAAGAGGCAAAGATATACTAGAACTGATGAGGGGAATACATGGAACAGGTGTGAGTTTATTGGTAAAACGGGTGTTATACAAATAAAAATTCCAAGAAACTGAACATAACTGTAACAGTACATCCCACCTGGTAGGCATTGTAAACAAAAACTACACCTGGGTGGTGGGAGGGGGTGATGATGACTATCGGGAGGAAGGAAGTAGGACTAGGACCCCCAGATAAAAGTCCATGGTGGTGCCATGGTGGAGTCCAGACTCTGCCTATGGCGGAGACCAAAAAAAAATGTTTCTTGTTGTTGTTCTTTCCATTGTTCATTGAGTCCGACATGAAAGAAAGAAAGAAATAAGTGCACTGTCGGGATAGTGGGTCTGGTGGGCAAGGTCCAAGAAGTTTCCTGTGTAGTCCTCGAGAGAGTGATCTTCCTGGGTGAGGAGGAAGAGGTGGACAGCTGCTAGATCCATTGTATTTTATCCATTGTACCCGTCATGACACGTGAGTCAAACCGGAGGAGGCGGCAGGTATTTTATTGAAACAAAACATAGCCGGGAGGGTGAGAGTGAGTGTAACAGATAATCCAAACAGGGAGAATAGGAGAAATCGTATGGGAGTGCAAATAATACTAGACAAAGAACTGAACTGAAAGAGGACAATATATACAAGAACTGATGGGCAAGGGGCATGTGTGAGAAATTATATTTACATTTAGTCATTTAGCAGACACTTTTATCCAAACTGACTTACAAATGAGGACAATAAAAGCAATCAAAACCAACAAAATGGCAATGATACGTAAGTGCTGTGACAAGTCTCAGTTAGTCTAACGCAGTACAAGTAGCAAGGTTTTTTTTTATATATATAATAAATAAAAAAGAAAAAACAAGTAGATAAAAATAAAACAAGTCAAAATAATAGGAGGATATGCTACTGTTAGAGGGTCATTTTTGTAATTAACGCTAAAATTCTCTATTCTTGTTTTATTTTTGAGGTTCTTTTTTTTTCATCCTTATGTGAGATATTGACAGATTTGTTTTTATTTGCAGTTAAGGCTGAACTGTAACTGATTATTTTGCTGTCTACCTGCAAACTACTGTACTGAGAAATGTTTTAAGCACTTGTGAAACCATGCTTAAAAATGAGGATGTTTTCAAAAATATTTCCATGGATAGTTTGTATTAAATATCAACTTCTATTAATTGAATCCAATCAATATTTGGTGTAACCATCCTTACCTTTAAAACACTCAAGGTTCAAGGTACACTAGTGCACAGTTTTTAAGGTAGTTTGTCTTGTTAACATAATTCTTCTATAGATTCAGGCTCAGTTGGTTCTCTTTCCGGAATGAATCAGTGTTTTTTAACAAATCGGATAGCCAAATGATTTAATGACTTACTCATAAACACAGCCACCTACTACTTTTGTAACCACCTACTACTAATTTTGTAATCTACAGAAAAGTCACTGAAAAATCCCTGTTGCTAATACACAAGCTGAACGTTTGTCTAGAACACAAATGCACCCAAGTGTAATGACACAAACAATGAGAAGAGATTTTGGACCGTTATATCAGCGCACAGTGTTCGAACTATACCGTGGACTTTGGGGGAGCCCACATGTTTGTTTGTTTTTTTTTATAAGGGGTCGCTTGCACGTGGGCTTACGATGACTTGCAAAGATACATAACAGCTAGTGTATGCACTACTTGCTTTATGCAAGCACTATATAGGATACATCACTATACAGGATTTACCCTATTATACTTTATCGACACGATTGATAGGTGAAGCAACAAATAGCCACCCACAAATAGTCTATAAACAAAGCATCCGGTTGTCTTTGAGTTCACATGAACAACGGTTAACGTAAAGTTACTCGTCGTCAGGCTACAGAAGAATACCATAATTCCTCCGTTCAGTTAGACCTAAGACATCGAGAGTCATGCAGACCTATAACAACCCAGCCACAACGCATAATTGTGAATAACATGCCTTACCTTAACACAGAATCGCCCAGAGTCCAACGTTTATATATATATTTTTTTAATGAATCTTTGAGTTAACATGTACTAAATATGAGTGGAATTTGCACCGCAGCGCCCCCACACCTTGATGCTCATGACAAGAATAGCATGTATAGTTATCTTTACTGAAGTGAATTAGGTTTAAATCGCCGTCATGCATGATGAATGAATGATATTTTTGCAATTTTACACACAATAATCCACGATGATCACATTACACAAAACTGAAATTGCACGTCAAAACACATTGTCAATATTTTGAGACCCCCCCCAAAATTTAACAAATCACGTTTTCAGGGGAGCCCATGTCTTAAGGGGAGCCGAGCTCCCCCGTAGTTCGCTCCCTGTCAGCGCACTTGAAATGCTTAGGCTTGCAGGCACATCATTGTATGATAGAGCTGAGGACAGAAGTCACAAGTTTGTGAAGCTGTTAACATCACTTACAACACTTAGGCAAGGTGTTCTATTTGTTGTAACAATTGTCTATGTATTTGAACTATTTAACCAAGGACATCTGCCCTTGTTCTGACCTCACATGAAATATCATTATCAATGTTAGCAACATCAATATCAATGTTAGCAACCACAAATACATATTACTCATTGGAAGATAACATTTCTGATTGGCAAATTTTCTGCTGAAAGTTTGCTCCCCAACTCCTTTTTAATATTTACAAAAGGGCTGTCAGTGTGTGATTTCTCAGGACACCTATTTCAGTGTCACATAGTAGAAACAATTTATGCATGGTATTTTATCTATTTTAATTTGCAGTTTTGATCATGTTAAACAAACTGATTTTACTTTAGCTGTAAAATGGGTGAAATGTCCCTTTAATTTGTTTGTATTTGCTTCTCAGATCCTGGAGCCTCGCTTTCATTCTGAGACCTTGGCCATGCTGCTCAACATCCCTCCACAGAAGACCCTCCTAAGACGTCACCTCGCCACTAACTTTAACACACTGGTGGGGCCTCAGGTCCAGCAGGAGAAACAGGAGTTTATCAACGCCAGTGGGCATGCACCCCTTACCACCACTGCCAAAGTCAGGGTATGATATTCCAAACAAAATAATACATTTTATGCTACATATAAGTTGCAAGTATAATTTGTCATGTTGTAATTTTATTAATGTATCTGACTTAGCCAAAGAAGCTTGGTTTTACTCATTTCCGACAACTAAGAAAGCTCAGGATGGATGAATCAGCAGATTATATATGCACCATGGATACAGGGAACCCACCAGCCCTGAGTGAGACACCAAAGCGGCCATATGGAAGCTTCAGGGGGATCAGCCCCATCCTGGCCAGAGACTCAGACAGACTGGAGCAAGTTGGGTCTAAGAACTGATTCACCGCCTCTTCAATTCAGCCATTCTTAGCCAAACAATGACATGCTTACTGCCAGCACTACAGTAACTCCACCCTGATGCTTGAAGAACTTCAGCATTAACACCATCAATCAGGAGAAGCCCAGAACTGATTCTTCAGTGTATCATCTGGATATGCTGGAAATGACTGAACATGGGCTCTGAAAAACATGGGGATTTTATTATTATTGTCTGTCTTTAGGTAGTTCCAATGCTGAAATACCATGCTGACAAATTCTTGATTTGAGTTTCTTGATTTTATTACTTTTAATAAATATTTGAATACCGATCCTTAAAATGTATAAATTATTTTATTACTTTAAAAAAGGTTTTGAAATGACCAATAAACTGTTTCTTTATTTTTCTCTGTCTTTCATGATATGAACAGGCCCTCTGTAGTAAAACATGTATGCCATATTGTAATTATGCATTGTAAGATCAGTAACACTTTATAATACTGTTCCATATAACTACACGGGAACACATGAGTAATGCAATATTAACATTCTAGTAACTAAATTAAAAATAAATGTCTGTTACTCTGAATAGGGAAGAAGATGCTTTGTCGGTAGTTGATGCTATGGGAATACACCCCAGATGTGGAGTTTGGCTAAAGCCTGTATAGAAACTAGGGATGGCTCAGTAACACCTTTTCATGTCCGATAATGAAATATTTAGTATCTGCTGATGCCAATCTGATACCAGTACTGTTTTGGTCTTGATCAGTTTGCTATATCTACACAATACTTCATTATAAATAAATTGAGCGGGTGTCCTGCTCTCGCATTATCTGCCAATTTGCTGTTGAGTATTTCTCAACCGCTTTTGACTCCAGCTTGTTTTTTTTTTCTTTTCCAAAGGACATTGACAATACTGTACAGTTGTTTAATGTTCATTGCACTTTGCTACTGGATAGAGTGACTCCTCTTAAGTTGAACACTGTTGATCACTGCACTTTGATTAATAGATAGTATTCCCTAGTGGGTATTTCTGGGTCGGCTTTGGATTGGTTATCCTCCTATCTGTATGACAGGAGTTTTTCTGTGTCTATAGGATCTTATATGTCAGATTATGTTCCTTTGTCCTGTGGTGTGCCACAAGGCTCTGTGCTCGGCCCTCTGTTGTTTAGCCTGTATATGCTTCCTCTTGGCAAGATTATTACTAGTTTTAAAATAACATCTTATCATTGCTATGCCGATGACATTCAGTTATATATTTCGTTTAGTCCTGATAGTCTAGATAAACTGTCTGTTCTACAGAACTGTTTAGTCTCCATTAACAAATGGATGGCAGACAATTTTCTACAACTTAATAACGATAAAACTGAGCTGGTGATCTTTGCCCCTGACAATATTATGCCTAAGATTAAGCAGGCTATGGGGGGTTTAGCATTTTTTGACTGCAGTGACATAAGAAACCTGGTTGTCATCTTTGACAGGGCTATATGTTTTATCAGTCATGTAAAGTCTGTAGTTTGTTCATGTCTTTTCCATCTCAGGAACATTGCTCAGAATAGACCTCTGGTCTCAAAAAAAAGAGATGGCAATGGTTATTCATGACTTTATCTCATCACGATTGGATTATTGCAATGTTCTGTATACTTGTTTGAACAAATCGGTAACACTTTACTTGAAGGGGTGTGCATAAGACTGACATGACACCATAATCATGGCATGACACTTGTCATGACTATGAAGGAGGTTTTATGCATGTTTATGACAACTGTCATTAAGTGTCATTCGCTCAGTTATGTCATTTGTAATGCAAATATGACATTATTTGACCTAACCCTAACCTAACCTAACCCTACCCCTACCCTTTCCCCTAACCATAGCCCATAACAAAGACATCTAAAAAAAATGTCATCTTTGCATTAAAAATTACATAACTGAGTGAATGACACTTAATGACTGTTGTCATAAACATGCATAAAAAACATTCATATTCATGACATGTGTCATGTCATGATTATGAAGGTGTCATGTCAGTCTTATGCACACCCCTTCAAGTAAAGTGTAACCAACAAATCTTCTATGGAGAGGCTACATGTTGTACAGAATGCAGCTGCAAGGCTTTTGACTAGTTCCAGCAAGAGGTCCCACATTACTCCTGTACTTAAGGACCTTCATTGGCTTCCTATTGCTTTTAGAGTGCAGTTTAGAATTTTAGTTATTTCTTATAGAGCCTTGCATGGTCAGTCACCCTCCTATATTCAGGATTTATTACTTGCACATTCTCCTGGTCGGTCCTTAAGGTCTTCTGACCTGGTCCTTTTAACTATTCCTAGAATATGTCTTAAGATAAAAGGTGATTGTGCTTTCTGTGCTGTGGCTCCGAGGCTCTGGAATTCTCTCCCTCTAACACTGAGAACTTTTGGTTCTGTAGAGTCTTTTAAAAAACACCTAAAGACACAACCCTTTGGACAAGCTTTTAATTAACAGTATAGTTAGGCTGCTATTAAATTTATGCAATATTTGGTATCTAATTTGTTTTGATTTTATGTTTTATTGTATATTTGATTGCATGTATGTTTGACTTGTTTTACTGATATCATTGTAAAGCACTTTGTGACTCTTTGTCTTTGAAAGGTGCTATATAAATAAATTTTACTTAATAAATAAAAAAAACACATACAAAAATGTTCTCATCAGCGTTAATGAAATGCAGGTTCGATTGTAGCTTTTGATAGGAAACAGAGATGTTCCATTTTACAGGTTCACTCAATGCTGCATCAGTATCAGAAACTATGAGAACACTATAGCACAGTAGCCAAGCTACCCCTTGCCTCAACAAAGACTAACACAAGATATGAACTGACTACTGACAAACAGATAAAACCTGAACCATAACCATGAGTCCAATCCATATCTAAATTACTATCGAAAATTTGATAAAAGTGTGTGGAGTGTCCCAGCCTGCTGTCACGCAAATATCTTCTAAAGACACTCCTTTATGCCAGGCACAAACCTCATGATTTTTTAAAGTCATGGGATCGCTGCTATTCTCGCACAGCACAACTGTCTTGGGTACCGTCTGTTGCTGTTGTGTGGACTCTGCACTAGTGGTTTTCAATCCTGGTCCTGGGGACCCATCGCTCTGCTGCACATTTTGTATGTCTCCATTAGGTGTGTGCAGCAGAGCCAGTATTTGTTTCGGTAACAATCACAAAATTATTTGCATCTGTATTCAGAAGTGGGTGGGGCTTTAACCGGAAGTTCGTACAGTTACATGAGAAGACCTATGGTTTATGGTCTATGGTTTTAGAGCCATTTTTTCTAGTTATCACAACAAATATGCCGTGTTCAACTGAAATATTTATTTATTCATTTATTTATTTATGATTAGAATATTTATTTAAAGATCTTCTAACAGTCGGAGCCGATAACCTTGTGTAGTGATGTTGTTAAAACGTCACCATTAATCATGTGGCCAATGAGCTACTGCCCGGTATATAAGTTGGTTGGTTCTGCCTCTTGGTGTGCGTCATGGTCGAAAGCCCGCCCTTTCCTTTCTGTTATGGACTGCCAAGTGTGGTGTTAGGCTGCTGAGATATACTGTGTGCAGTGCGTTGTTTGCTCTCAGTGTGGTGTGCCTTCATGGCTCCTATTGATTGTGACTTCGCAGTATAATGTAGCCCAGGTCACAGCACCAACTGTTGTCGCTTTAACCTTTAAAGAAGAGCCTTTAAAGAGGTTGTCATATGATCCTTAGATATGTTGTCATGAGCATCACACCATCGCATTAACGGGTTGAGTGGGAGCAGTAATTAATACAGCATGTTTCCTATTCTTCATTGTTTGAGCCACGCTGCTGCTTTTGGAGTTTAATTACGTCCACGTCTAGCATCCAAGTGGGCTTGATGTTTGTTTGTTTGTTTTTATTTGGTATTTTGTTTTGAGTGATTTGTAATCTTGTTTTCTTTTACCTTGTGAACTCTTTCTAAAAAGTTGATTGTTTTCCTTTGTTTCTTTTGTTGCAAATACGGACATTTAATTTGTGGTTTGTAGGGGTGGAGTGCTTCCAGAAGTGGGCTGGGTTTTGACAGCACCATGGACATTATTTCACTTGGGGTAGTAATTTTGTGTGTGTCACTATTGCTCTTTTACCATTTGCAGTGCATTTTGTGGGTGTGATACTGATTCGTGTGATTTTTTTTTTGTCTTTTGCATACCTGGTGCTGTTATATTCACCCGCTTCTCATATAGGAAGATTCTGCCTTCTACAGCATTATTATTTGGATGTTTTTTTTGTTTTGTTTCCTATATTGAGTATTTTTATTTCTTTAAATTTCTGTTTGTTTTTTTTTGACCTATGACATTGGTGTGTGCCGGCTGTGCGTTTTAAATTAATATCAGCCAATTCTTTTAGCCTTAATAAAAGTTGTTTGTATGGATTCACGCCTCTTGCTCTATTCATGTGGAACGTATTTGCGTGTCCTTATTTGGGTTATTTTCGCCGGCATTTCGGGGTGGCATAGTCACTACAACTGGGCCTCTTGCTACACTTGTATAGGCAGTTCTTCGAGATGTAGTGTGGTTGTGCTTTGGGCGACACGAGTTTGAGTCCCAAACCTTTTGTGATCCAATAAATAAATATTTAAATGTCTTCTAATTAAAACAGTAAAGGTTCATACGCAGTTTGGAAATATGGAAATTGATATAAGTAATTTCCAGGAAATGCATGGGAAAAGGCAACTGCTATTTTATTTGTGTTTATTTCATTCATGGAGTTTACACTAATTTGCTGTACTTCACACACTCGTTATTGCGTAGTAATTTTAGACATTTATGTAAAATATACTTTTCCTTGACTGAATTAATTCAAGGCACACATTTTCATTATGCAGAACTCTTTAAGCGAGTCTTTTTTTGAAATTCACTAAACAAATCTTTGTGTACCACACAAACCAGCAAAAGATAAAGAAGCAAACGTGTAGGCCTAGTAGAAAATGTTTCTAAGTTGATTATTAGCCAACACTTGACAGAGAGCTGGTTTGGTTTTTGAGAGAAGGAGACACAGACGGCAATGCGGTTGTTTGATTGGCGATCGCGCTGTGCTTATTCCATTCATTCGTGTATCATATCATACAAGATTTAAATAATTGACATTTAAATATACACAAATAGTAGAACATATATGATGTAGTATTTTAGTTGATATTACTCTTGCCAAGCTCTCATTTCTGAGAGATTTATGGAGAGGCAACAGCAGTGCGGTTGTTTGATTTGCACTCATTTCATTCATAAAGTTTACATTCTTTCACTTCACTTACTCATTATTGCGT